CCCCCCCCCCCCCACCCCACCCCCACACACACACACACACCACTTCTGCACACGTGGGTCTGGCTACAGCACGCAGGGGAAGGGACCGCAGGGTAGGCACGAGGTGTGGGAAAGCGCTCGGGGCCTCTGCGGGCGCGAGCCGGCCTCCCCGCCCCCTCCGCGCACGCACGCGCGGCTCCGCGAAGCTCCTGCAGCTGCGCGAACCCCCGCCCTCGTCCCTGGGTGGGACGCCGGGGCGGCTGGGACCCAGGCCGGCTGAGAGGGGGCAGGTGGTGGCCCAAGGGGAGTCCTTCCCGGACCCTCCGCAGCCTGCTCATGCCAAGAGTGAGGGAGAGAGCTCTTGTTTCGGACTGGGTCCTCTCCAGTGAGGAGCGCATGGAGGGGGCCGGTGGTCAGAGGACCGCAGGAGGAACAGCTAAGCCGCGGCCAGCATCCAGGAGCGGTCCTTCAGCCTCCAGCGACACTGCGCCTAGGGCGACCTCCCTGAGGCTTGTGGAAGCCTGCATGGCCGACCTGGAGGCTCCACAGAGTGCCAGCGAGGAAGACGGAAGGCCCAGGGGTGGGATCCTGGCCCTCTTCTGCCGCCATCCCTTCTGAGAGCTGCCGGGCAGGAGCCAAGTTTTACTAGGCTCTGGGCCCCAGGAGGCGCCCAGCAGGGACGTGGGGACAGCAGAATCTATATCCTACCTGGGCTGAGTGGGACGTGTCCACCCGGTCCCTCCCGCCTTCACTCCACACCTTGTGCCAGGTGGAACCCACGACTGAGTCAAGGACACAGTGGGCTGTACCCCACTGGTCATGTGTGGGAGGGGACACGTCCATTCCAATCCGAGGGGTTCCAAGACCCTCCTCCAGGGCTGCATCCTCTCTGGCTCCCAGGCTGCCTGTACCCCCAGATGGAGAACTCTCCCACTCAGGGCGGCTCAGCTTCCAGAAAGGAACCTGCAGTGGCAGGACCAGCAGGTGGCGCAGCACTAAGGTGCTGGCCTCCCACGTGGCCTGAAATCACATGTGTGTGCCCCAAATGCCAGGAGGAGGGTGGAGGAGAAGGGATGCAGCTTGGTATCCCCCTGGAGGTGATGTCTTGCTTCTTTCCTTCTCACTGACTCTCCCCTCCCAATTTACTCACTTTCCCTCTCAGTCTCTCTTCCCCCCAGCAACCATGCCCTATGGCAAAAAAAAAAAAAAAAAAAAAAAAAAAAAAAATACAAACAAAAAAAG